CCATATGATATGTTAATTTTTCTTGTGCCGTAGGTATAAACTTTTAAAGTTTTCAGGGCTCCACAATCCAGTTCAGGAAAAACTGTCAGTAGAAATGAATAAGAAAATCTTTCCAGTTATAAGTTCAACAAAGTTACTTTCTTGTTTATAATTCTACTTTTATACTCACCGATTTTAGTTTAGATATACAGTGTACAGTACAGTACTAGCAATTTGAATATTGATCAAACTACTCTCTAAATAATGCAATCAACATTACGGTACATGTACAGTATTTTACAAAACAAGTGTCAGTACTGTATTTATTTTATCTCTATGTATTGTCAACAACGGGTTTCTTGATACTACAGTTTTACATTTTATTCACAAAAGTTTCTTAAGAGTACACCTACTTCCCTTATGCAGCACAGTACAGAGGTTCTCAAACCAGTGATCAGATGGTGTCTTTTTTGTTTTGATCAAGTTGTTACCAAACAAACTAGTGAACAAGTTGTGTTCAGCCTTGTTTTTAGATTATATCTTTGAAAATTGGATCAAGTTATGTGACACGTGCCGAGAAGAGAAAGTTGAAGGTGCTCACTATTGAACAAGAAAAAGACATAATATGACTGATTAAGTATGATAGACCCAGAATTGAGATTTGTTGCGAGTTAAATTAGAAAGTCATATGTGAGTCATATTTTATGACAAAAATTCTCTGTTTAAATTTTATTCTGGTATTGAAAGTGGTTAGGGTGTAAATGAATGTAAAATGCTTATTAAGTCAACATTTGAGAAAAGTAAACAAAGCTAAGTGAAATTGGGACAACAGGGCAGGGAAATCAACATGGGTGGCTGGCTGCTTATGGTAGTAAATGAACATGTTCGTTTTCAGATGGATTGTTGTAAAGTTTTAAAAGGACTTGGTAGCTATTCGAAAGATTGCCCTTAACTGCCTTCACTTCCTCACCCTTAAAGTTATGTGCCTATTTACAACTGGGTGAAATGGGGGGGGGGGGTGCCCGGGGTACTAACCGGCAATCCGTAGGACAGGAGCCAAGTGTTGTATCCTCCCAGCTACCACACCCCATATGATCATTAGGTTTGGTTAACTTTAATTTATTCATTTATCTGTTTTAAAAGATGGAAATATGAGTATTCACTGAGGCAGGTAACATGTGTCACGAGTTGAAAATCTTATATACAGAGTTCCCTCCAAAAGAGTGAATGTTGATAAATTAGAGTGGGGAGAACAGCTAAGGACAATTCTTAGTGGTTGGAACAAGTTTTCTTATGTACTGTAATACTTACGGAAAACATTATTACAAATTACCGTATTGTACATCAGAAATTCAGGCAATACCACAGCCACTCCCAGTTAAAGTGTATCAACAGGCCTGATGATCTATTAGGTACAGTAATAGGCAAACTGTATTCCAAGCCTTTGGTCGACTAAAAGACAGTGTATTAATAAAGCACAAATAATTAACTTTTTATCTGAGTTGCTTGGAGGTGAAAATACAGGTCATAAGGAGTGTGGAAGCTGTTGACCATTTAATATTTGTCAGAACTTAAGTTTGGGTACATCTGAAATTTGAATACTTCTGAACAAAAGGACAAAATAATAGCTCAGTCTTAACTCTGTTCCCACTGAATGCATATTTAAGTACTGTACTATATAGCATAGTAAACTCAACGTACTGTATACAGGTACTCCCCGACTTACGACCGACTCGACTTACGTCCACCCGCACTTATGACCTGCCTCAGTCGTACCAAAATGTGGTCAAATTATGTATTTTTGAGTCCCAAAGTCAGTACACAGACAAAATTTTCATCTGTAATTCACTTTAAAAAGGCTGGCAAGCTTAAAAGTGAGAGTTTTGTGGTGCTGAGAAGAAAATGATACCCAAATTTTCGATTTTCTATGTATTATTTAAGCATTTCCAACACGACCATTTCGACTTATGACCTGAATGTCGGTCCCTAACCCCGTCATAAGTCGGGGAGTACCTGTAGTGAGAAAGCGACCAAGTATTACATAAAATAGCAATACCTGTACAGTACTGTATGATATATTCTATGAAGAGCATTTCAATAGGAAATGTAGATATGGGCCTACAACCCCCAAAATACACACAGAAAATTCATCTTAACTGTCTCATGGTCTTTCGACGCAAATTGCATCACTAGCACTCCCAGGCTGGGCAACCCCTCCTGCTCAGCCGTATCTCACACTGAGAGCATCCTTCCCTTAAGCAGAAATGTGTACTGCCCTATCAACCACCTATATTTCTCCCACTAACCTTGTGGGTCTGAATCACTATCCCATGTTTATTGAAATTAAAATTAAATTTTACCGACGGAACCTGAGTTGAAAGACTGCGGGGGGGGGTGAGATTTCCAACCATGGCCAGGAGTACCGAAGGGTTAAAATACCCCTTTTCTCATTTCAACAATAATTCTGTCACCTCAAAACACTATCAAATTTTAACTCACCCTGAGTTTGAACAGCAGCTTCCTGGTCTTTAGTTGTTCAGACTCAAGAGTGAGTGATTGAGTAAAAGTTGCCCAAAGTGTGAAATTCTGTAATGGAGTAGACAGTCAAGAACAAAACAAAAACAAAAATACAAAAGGTATCAAAAATGGTGATAAACATTGAGATTCACTGTGAACAAAGCCTTTGAGACTGTTTTTAATGAGACAAAACTGTGAAAATTTCAGAAATAGTGCAAAACATCCAGAAATGTTTAGGTTTACCTTTTTTTGGGGGGGGGGGGTAAAAAAACGGAAAATGGCGTAAATGGTATTAAACTCAGTACAGTACTGTATAATATTGTACTCCAGTGATATCCACAGCTTGTTTGCCCTTTTCAAAATGCCTTAACACATCCATTTTCGCCTCTAAACTATCACTTTCTTTGTCTCTTCTGTACATGACAACATTCTGTCATTATTTAAAGTGTGTACATAAGCTGCATAGATATGTGGCATGGTGTAATCAACCTGGTGTTGGATCGGTCGATTAAAAGAAATGTGGTAAAGAAATTTTATGGTGTATTTTAGGGGGTTTAGTACTCTTTACAGTATTTCCTATCGAAATACATAGAGCAATATAACATGATTCAATATACTATACAGTATAGTATATCAAATATGGCCTGCTACAGCAAATAAGTTTTACACCCCTATTTTAGAACATATCAAAACTTGCACCAGCGTTGGCCAAGTCTGGTCTTAAATGTGCTTATTCAAGAGTTCACAACTCTTATTCCAAGGAAGTTAGGGTTGACAATTTTCAATACGTGTGGCTTCTTTACAAATGTTTTTAAAGGTTTAAGATCAAACAAAGAATTGATCAGCTTGATGAAAACATAGTTTAGTTCCCTGCTTTCATTAGATGGCAAAGTGAGTAGGTGGGTTGTCTGCTAGCACAAGCAACCACCTCCTACACAGTTCCCTCATGACACTCCAAATGAGCAAAACAATATCCCTCTTTTGTTCTACTGCTCCTTATGTCACCTTGGGTCTGAACAACTGCAGTCCAGGTGTGTTAAAACTTGTTAAAAGGTGTTTTGAATTTATGGCATTAGTGTTGAAGTGAGAATAATAGGTGTCTTAAAGAATTGTTTACCTTGTCCTCTTTGCCCCTGCTCAGCCTCATCTTATCGTACAGTACAGTAGTACTGTATCGTATCTTCCTCACCTTTAGTGTAAGAATAGTGATGGTGTTTTTAATATTCAGTTCTAAGAGAAGCATTAAATTTTTAATATTCCATTAATACACTATCAAATGAAGATAATTGATGAGCGAGTGAAAACCAGACTGCTTAGCAGCATCAGTGTAGCAGTTGAAGTTCGATTCACAACATCCTGAATCCTATTACTTTATCACTTGCATTGACTTTGAGCAACTGCAGTCAAGGAAACAGTTACATACAATGTGAGTTATACAGTACGTATTGTAACTTTTAAAAGGGGGGGGGGTTAAAACAAAGGAATTAGTGCTGAATTTGAGAAAATTTGGTATCTTAGGAAATTTTTGTATGTATGTTTTTGGGGCTGTTGTCCCATACCCTATACTGTTTATTATGTACAGTAATTCCCATTGAATACTGTACTGCACATAGACTGATCTAACACGATTCAATTTTGGATGATAATTCTTGGTCCCATTCTCATGTTAAATCGGGGGTTTTGCACAAACTCAATTTTCCTCTTTATACTTCATTATTTTTTTAAAGATGTGTCCCAAGAAAAATACCACCGTAAGCTGTAATAAAGTCACACTTAAAAAAAGTAGTAACCCTTTTTTTAAATGCTTTCACTGGAAAACTGAGGTGGTAGTGCACTACAGTACATGTAATGGAATGAGAGTTATTGGAAGATAGACAGTGTAGCAGCGCTGTAGTCTGCATCACTCCACCTGCATCAAACTTAGGTGCTTCTCAGCCTTCAGGTGAATTATACTCTGTTCATTCTAATTTACAACAATGCCAAATCAAAGGAAGTTCATGATTGGTTGTACAATGGCATTGCATACAATGCACAATATTTCCTTGTGTTGTATCTTTTATATACAGTATAAGCTTGCTATTCCATTAATGCATACAGTTTGTAGGTAAATACTATACAGTAACAAAACATGTAGAAACATAACTAGGTCTTATATGTGATTTTAATAGATGATGATCATATACCGGGTAAATTGAATAACTTTCACATACAGTACAGGAACAAGGCCATGTAACTAAAGTTTTGTTGGCATTCACAGTACAGTACAGTACTGTGGACTAATACTGTATTAAAAAGAAAAGGGTGATCCAGTATTACAGTTTCTGTCTATTTGACAAACAGCTGTCATTGATTGAAGTGAATCTTCCATATGTATACAGTATTTGCTAACAGGTTTTTTATACCTTTAATATTATCATGTACTGTACTGTATTTTGAAATATTATGGTTTAAATTTAAATATTAAACCATATTACAAAGCAGTACAGTACAATACTGGTACTCACTTATTGATGTGTTGTAATTGAAGGTTATCAGGGAAGTAGGTATCACATGCACCTGAGCTTCTCTCTTTTATTATCTGAGTGATAACAGGGACTATGGTATGTTGGTTACCAATTTGCCACATTTGTACCAAGTTTCTTATAGGGTATACTAAGTTGGTACTGCACTAGTAATTTGGTTTCTTTTATTTTTTTTAACTAATGTGTCCAGAGATACACAAAGGGTAGCTAATTTATTACTGTATTTCAGAACAAAGAAAAATGGCGAGTGGTAATTGTATGTTGTATTGTAATGGAACATTATGTGATAGATAAGTACAGTAAGTGCCTGGTGATAAGACTAGTTGGGTGTTGTCTCCTCTCTTGATTGTTTTTAGTCGTATGTCTCGTAAAGTTGTTTGTAATTTAAGAAATCGTACATGAGGAGTACATTATGTAAAAATTTTGTGATCGGTGTATTCAGTCTGCAACACATTATATAGTACAGTGCTTTTAAAAATTTGCTTGACTCCTAAGTTAGTGTGAGTAACTCAGGAAAAAAATAACATGGAAAGTTTTATAGAATAAGTTCTTGAATGCCACTTTGTAAGGAAATGATGTGTATGAGTCATAATATTCATATGTTTGACAATTGGATGTAAATCTTGTTGAGAAGAAAATCATATAAGGGTCAAGTATATACTGTATTTGTAGAATAATAGTACTATAATGTCATTGAAGAATAAGAATTATAAAAAAAACAAGCTTGCCCTAGAAATAGAAGCGAGTCATTTATACAACCGCCGGAAGAATGGTACTCCACAGTCTGAGGACAGTGATCTGTTGAAACCAGAAGATGGCACTTCACAACATTTACAGTCGACTGAACTTCCTCTCGGTTGTGGGGCTTCTAGAAATTCTTTACATTCACAGAAGAGTCCCATTTATGTCTTGCCTTATGCTTCCACTAGCAGTTTTAACCAAAAACCAACTGGTGAGTCACAACTTAAACAGGTTAACCCTGTTATGAAACCTCCCCGAAAATATTACCAAGAACCAGCAGATAATGACCCCAGTGAGGATTTCATGCACAAACGTGTAACAGCTCTGGATACTCCAGAGTTAGAAGCAGAGTTTCGAAAACAGTTCATAGGCAGAATTGACCTAGAGGAAGCTCTAAAAGATCGACCACCAAGTTTCACACCCCCTGAGAGGTAAGTCGGTAGATTAAACAGAGTATGTGAGAGGTTATACAAGAATTTAATCAAAAGTTCATCATAACTAAATGGATAATGTAATGCAGAAACACTTGTAAATGTTATTGTGTTCATGTATGGTTGAGGATTAATATTACAGTATAGATACACAGGGCATCATGTGACATATTGTAAAAACAAATACACCCCAAAGACATAATTACAGTACAGTATTTAGTTTTCAAAGGAATTGGCTGTAGTGCACAGTATGTATTGAAACAAAAACAAAATTGGAGATAAATTTATTCCAAGTGAAAAGGAAAAAAATTATATAGATAGATTCAAAGGCTTCACGGAAATAGAAGAATGACATGAGAGATCTGAAAAAATTATGTGACATGCAAGGCTATGAAGAAAAGACTGCTCACTCCAGCTCCTTCACCATTTTATGATCATTTCCCACACTTGTGTGGATTATCCATGATGGTCTGGTGTCCTGATTACTGCAAATTTGAAGCAAGTTTTATAACTGGATACCCTTCTATATACCAACCCACTTTTATAAAGTGGGAGCTGGGCTGCTTTTCCCACTCAGCTTGTGTTTGCTCATGTAAAGATGGTGGCACACTGGGCACTTTTCTCCAAACATGTTTGGCAAACACGGTCCAGCCAGTGAAACAAAGAAACATTTTGCGTCACACTGGGTTGTTTTGTTGGTGCATCTGCCCAACACAACAACATCAAAGCGTTTAGACAAGGTTCACCATGGATCCCGTTACTACAGTTTAGGCCGTGCAGGATTGTGCTATAGTTCTTCAATTGCTGAAACAAATGAGGTGTCTGTAAAAGCTAAAGAAAAGACAAATGGGTGCTACGTGAAGTTTCTTTAAAAGTGACGGCAGCTGGATGGTCAACGGAGGCCCTGAATGGTGATTTAATAATACTAAAGAAGTTTTAAAGTGACAAATAAATAGAAATATGTCGCCATTTCTGTGTTATATTTTAAAATATTATTGTTTCATGATTTATTTCAATTTTTACTTGAAATTATATGAAGCTAAATTGAGCACTAATCCGGCCAGCAAAGATCCCTGCCAAACCATTGTCCATTTCTAGCAACAGTCAAAATCCTGCAGCTTGCTGGGCCATCAGGCCAACGTGCAACATGTTTGGAGGAAAGTGCCCAGTGTTCCGCCACCTTAAGTTGTGATGCTGCTACACTTTTAGTCATAAGTTTTCACTTCTTACATTCATTTGCATTCTTCAGAGAACTGTATGAAGCCGATTGTGTCTGGCTACTCTTATAAGAGACAAATATGTGGAACTGGAATAGGGTAAAAGTAATCTTGCATTGTATATCATAATGGATCTGTTTGTTTATTATTATTCGTGCAAATTTGACACTTAATACTTTCCTCTTAATCATGCCCATATTTTATTATAAAATACCTTGAAAATTAGACTAATTTCATTTAAATCTACAGTTTTATGGCTACAGTATTCACAATTTAAACAGTGACATACAATTTCTCAAAACTTAAAATTTGTACGTTCATCATTGTCACACATAAAGCCTCAGTTCATAGTTTTAAATAAAAGTATGAAAGTTAAATTAAACTGGAGCACACAGAAAGAATCAGGATGTATTGTACGGGTACCTCTCGTTTTGCGTGTGTTTTTTTGCACTTTTTGAATTAACACGAGGTCCAAAATCCAAAAAAATATTTAATTTACACGTTTTGTTCACAATAACACTCATAAGTTCTACAGTAAGTTGTAAGTGTGTATAAACAAGCGGGTTGTATAAACGGGGCTAATGCACACTGCCGTCTTGCCTCAGACACCTCTCTCGCTCACTGTTAATTTTGCACGAAATTTGATTTACACGACCTCTTCAAGAACGTAACCCTAGTGTAAATCGAGAAGTACCTGTATTAGATCTGTATTGGAGAAATTAATAAAGGTGAGGATCCTCCAAATAAGAAAGTCTTGTATTCATTAAGGAGTGAAATTTTAGGATTTTTGTAAAGCAAAGATAATATAAGGCAAGGAAAGGATATACAGTACTATACAGGGTAAATTTTGACTAGTTTTGTATACCATTTTTACTGGATTTAAACATAATGGAAATAAAAATATGTAGTTTAAGAGGTGTTGCTTTGTTTTGGCCGAACAATTACCGCATTTTCGTGATTTAACGAACCAATTCGAGCCACTGCTTTCTGTTAAATTAAAATTCCCTCTAAATTGAATTTCCGTTATTTTAGCTCAATTTAGCGAACTAGTTTACACCCGCTCAGTCTGTGTCCTGCTGCCACCATGTGAGTTGGTCACTGCTACCCGTCTCTCAACTAACTACTGTGCTTAGACATCATGCCGAAAGTTTCTCAGAAATCTCCGAAAGGAAATGGTGTGAGGGAGAAAGTCAAAAGAGTGCAGCTATCAATTGGAAAAAGTACATATCATGTGTCTGAGGTGTCACCGTAGGTGTGAGCGTATTAACGGAATTAATCTTGATTTAGCAAACTAGTTCACTAAATCAAGTGAAAAATAATGGAACAAAAATCCTTCCACTAAATTTGATTCCATTAAATCGAGAGTATACTGTATTATCTCTAGGCTTGAAAGATTGCATTGAGAAATAACCAAACATCTTATACATCACAGGCTCCATCTATGAAAAAATGGTACTGTATACTGTACTGTACATAGTGTCGACATTTACAGTACTGTACAGTACAATATACTGTATACTGTATACCTGTATGTAAAATTAACAGGAAACTCAATGTATTATTGAACAGGAAATGGGGATAAATGGCATGTTGAATAAAACTTAATTTTACTAAGGCTAAAAGTTAAAAATTCTAAATCAGGCAGGGCCGGCCTTACCTTCTGAGGGGCTCTATGCAAGATGATGGTTGGGGGTGGCCCCCATTCCCTAGACAACTCTCATATCGTGCCCAGTCCCTCACCCACATACAGCATATTCCCGATTTTCTTTGAGAACATCACCTTGATAAAAGCGCACGCCCAATTTTATATTCTGTTATACAAACATATATGCAAATATATAACAGGAAGGTAAATCATTATTAATTGCCAGGTTTTTATGGACAGAAACCGCTAAAGCCCAAACTTACTGGTGCTAGATGGTGGAAATGCACTCGACTGCAGTTCTGGTTTGTGCACACTACATGACACATCAGAATTGAAATATGAATCCTATTAAACAACAAATATATTGTATTCAGGAGGGGCCACCTAAGTGATGGGGGCCCTGTGCAGCCTCATATAGCTGAGGCCGGCCCTGAAATTGGGCAGTTCAAGTTTGGGATGCAGTACTATTGTTCTGACGGATGGTTAGGTTTTGCTGTTTGATAAACATACCATTGAACATTATTCCTGTCACAGGAAATTGATATTGTACATCTTGTACAACTCAAACCAGTACTGTACAGGTATTCCTCACTATACGCATGTTCACTACAAATATTTGCTTATACTGTACTGTACGACTGTTCTATTCTTACACCTTTTTTTTCTCTTCACTTTACAAAAGCTGTTCTCACTTACATATGAATGTGGCCCCTTAAGGTAATGTACCAAATTTATATTTTATTAATTTTTTAATGTGCCAAGGACTAAATTACAGTACACCTGTAATTAGGTATTAAATTACAGTTTACTGTAGTATTGTAGTTAGGTACAGTATTACAGTACCTAGTACAGTATTTAGGTAGGTTTTCTGTTTGTGAACTTACAGTACAATATTTCGTATTTTTAGATATGGTATTGTGGTTTTCTAGTCTATTTACCCATATGTTTTTTTTTCCCGAATATTCACTTAACAAATGGTTTTCAAGGAACCTAACCCATTCATATAGCGAGGGATACCTGTACTTGAAGCCAAGCAACTGCAACAACAATATAGTTTCTGTTACAAAGTGTTTTACTTATATATATAAACAGCTATTTTAATTAGTATGTAGTGTTCTAGTTGATAAGAAAGAACTGATATAAACAAAATTACAAATTAATAATGCATGTTTATATGGGTTTGGTTTTTCTTATACTGTACAGGTTTTCAATGCTTCTTTCTATACTACTCCTCTTACTACCTCAGCATTTAATATATTGTAGTTTCTACTTCTTTTTTTTTTCAACATTAAGGTATTGAGATGATGGTGTTGGAAGATGTCACTTGGCAAATTTTTAGTGTTCTACGATCAACAGAAACTAATATGAATTGTACCTTTGTGTATCGGTTAAAAATATCTTGCTATTGGTTGAGAAGGCATTGGTTACATTACTTTAATGGTATTCACAGCATGCATTACCATATCATGATATTTTTTTTTGTATTCATAATTGATTAAGGTAAGAAGATTTACAACATTTTACTGTGTTTGCTGTAACCCAAAGCACTTTGTCTTTGTCCTGTACATTTTATTTGATGTGTACTGTATATGTTTATGTAACTTTTTTTTCAAGTACAGTATGTACAGTAGATACTGTAGGTTTTTAGAAAGAATTATTCACCCATATTAACCAAAGTACAGGATAAATGCAGACATTTTATAGTCTTCAAATAAATAATATCCTCATTTTTTATGAGGGTAATATGCAGAATAGTTCCAGTAAACATTATGTCTTGGTCAGGATATCAGTTTTTGAAGATCTTATTCAGGATTAATTGAATTATCTCTCAGAAAGTATGAAACAAATATCCTTACTTTATTTACCATAAAATGCAACATGAAACTAACAGTCTTCTCTGGGTATTTTGCAGTCTCCACATCATGTCTCTGGGGTCAATGACCTGCACTCGGTGTGGGGATGGCTTTGAACCCCAAGAGAAGATCGTCAACTCTAATGGACAACTGTGGCACACCCAGTGCTTTGTGTAAGCTCCATTTTCATTTGATTTATTAGGGTTTTAAGTAAAAACTTTTGTTAAAAAAATTGAAGTGGCGGCAATCTATGTAGAGTATGCAAAAGCAAGGTGAAAATACAGTAAGTAGCCATTGCGAAATCCTTACAGGCAATTAAGTGGCAACATATTTTATCTCAATCAATCATTGTATATGTGGTAGGAATGAACAGTAACTTAGTTTAATAAATGTTTTGTGAATGGCAGTGTCAGGACCTGGAGCCTTTAGGCTTATAATGACTTATAATGAAGGGAAAGTCATATGTCTTGTTATGCCTGGTGGCACCAAAGTAGAAGAGTTCAAGATGACAGCTTTTTGAGTTATCCTGAGGCAAGGACAGTAGTAGCACTCTTTTTAGGGAAGTTGCTGGGTCTACACTTGCAGGTTGTGAGGCCAAGGGGACCTCAGGGTTAATGTCTTTATTTCATAGTCTTAAACCAATTTTCAACTGGCTTAGATGGATTGCTTTCTTTGGGGATGTTCATGAGCCTAGAGTGCCTGCTACTCATTTTCTAAATAGCTTTGGTATACAGTACTGCAGTGTATACAGTATCTCAGTCTTGACATAGGTGATAATTGTAGGGTTGATCTTGAAATATCATTATACAGTATTGCAGTTTTAATTGAGCTACAAGGCATACTCATTATTCCTCACCCTTTCCTGTGGGATGTTGAGGTGAGCTGGAATTAGGTTGGTTGATTAGATGTGAGGGCTTTGTAACTGATATCAATAAAGGAATTGACTAGAGCATTTCATTTTATCATCACAAAATTTTTTCATGCTCTTTCCCTGTTTTAAGATACTGTACTGTACCTTCTTATGATGTAGCTATCCTTTATGAATCAATTATGAAGATGAAGGATAATCTACAATCAAATTTAGTTGTTTTTTTTAGAGCCTATTTACAAGCTGGGGCCCTGTGGTCTAGGGTTACAACCTCTCAACTTGAAGATGACAGACTTGCTCAAATCTGAGAGGAATTATAGGATAATTTTCCACTTTTTACTACAGGTATAGACCCAAAAATCCAGGACCCTTTGGACGAAGACCAAACTAGAAGACCACATCATGCTTTTCTTCCACAGACACTCACAAAAATTCAGTTGAACCTCTGATTTACTTCTTAACAAACAAAATAAAGAAAACATATTTGTATACATACCTGGTTTTTTTTTTTAAAGAAAATCAGTAAACAGTCTTTTTTAGAAGTAGAAACTTCCCAACTAAACTCTCAACTTTTAAAAAGCCTGTGATTAATGATATTTTTAAGTTAAGCGATGCATACAATGATGTTTTCTTTATTTTGTTATTTAAAAAGTAAAACATTCTTCTGAGTTTGTGTGTGTGTGTGTGTAAGCAAAACTTGACATAGCCAGGGAAGAGAATTGAACCTAACCCAGCAAAGAAAATTTCTGGTTTTCTGAGATTCTGTTTCGAGTGTCTGTACCTGTGCAGTACGGTAAAACTTTTTTTTTTTATCCCTTTATGGTTTATTCATTTCTACTGTAACTTTAAACTCATATTTTAACTTAGATCCTGCTCATGATGTGTAATGCCAATTAATTGCAAACAGTTGACATTCCTGGCCTACAGAGGTTGACAAACGTACCTTTGCAAATAAATTATGAAACTTTAGTGAGTAATTGCTCAGTCTTGTATGTCCTAGAACACCAAACAGTGCACCACAGAATGTTTTCTGAAATTTTATTGCACAAACAATTATTTTAGGATAAGGAACCCCTAAAATTCGCAAAAAGTGCTCATATATCAGCATTTTATCCCATTGTATTCGTAAGTACGGTACTGTATTGTAAATAATTAATATGTTGTAAATATTCACTGAGAAATAAGAAGTAAAAAAGGGACAACAATGATAAGTATAATAAGGCAATACAACATAGAAATTAAACATTATAAGCTGATTACAGGTAAAATATTATACCTTAAATAGGGGATGTAGGGACATAGCCCCTCGGAGCAAAGAGGTTAAGTACCCAGATATGAGGACGGTACTTTGATTGATTGATTGCTATTTATCATGAGTTACTAGACATTTTTATGTACCACAAATCTACCTAATCTCAGAGCCAGTGTTGGTGAAATCCTCAAAATAATGTGTCATATGCTGTTCTTGAGCACCACGTTGTTATTTTATTCTCTATTTTTCAAATATGCTATTTTTTTTTTTCCCTGATGAAAGATTTCTTGATTTCCAAGGTTCTACTATACAGTGTGGTTTGATATAAAATAAGAAATATGAAGGGTGTATATTCTGTGTCTCTAAGATGCAGTGGAACTCTCCCGCACCACCGTTGAGAACCCTCACTGCTAGTAGTGAAAGTTGTCAGACACACGTACACAACCTCCCTTGTGCCCCATGCAACCCGTAGTGCAATCTGCGGAGGGGCGAGGGCACCGTTGTTTAAACCCGTGTAGCTTAAGGGTTTACTGTATACAGTATCCTATGCCCTCTAGTATTCTTCAGCTTGCATGGATTGTTCAAGGAACATGGCTGGGTGACCCTTCACCCCTTGTGTACAGGGATCTCTCTTTGCCGATTAAAATTGCCTGGATTCAGCACTTATCCAGACTATTAACCCCTTCATTACAGGGATGCCACTGTTAATATTTGGCTAACACCTGACAGTTTTACTCAGCACTAGCAGGTAAACAATATTAAAAATGGATTTATATTGAACAATAAAGGGGGCTGAGTCTAAGTACTAGTATTGGGTGTCTTTTTTTATTTTTTACCCACAGAACAGTACATTATTTGTATTTTGTATCTTTATTGTAAAGTTAACCTGATTACATATTGCCTTACATTACAGATGTGCACAGTGCTTCCGTCCATTCCCTGACGACATTTTCTATGAATTTGAAGGCCGTAAATATTGCGAGCATGATTTCCAAGTTCTCTTTGCACCGTGCTGTGGAAAATGTAGTACGTAAAATACCTCTAATTTGTTCTTTCATTAATTTTAAGATAAGCAGCTTTACTTTTGAATAGTACATGGTACTGTATATTTTTTGAGTATTTTAATGGTGTATGGAGTATGCAGGATTCACCAAAACAGGAAGTTGTACTGGTATCTCAGTAGGATTGTGCATAAAGAACTAAGTAAAATTCTAATACCTCCCAGAAAAGTAAGTGATTTTGTCACTTTAAAGACAGCTTCTAGGGGATGAGGCAAACTTCTGCTACTGAGATCTGGCCTCAGCAACCCACTTTTGAGATATGCCTTTTTCTTTCTTTTTTATTGGGAGTCCAAAATTTTAAGGAAGTAGATGGAGAAGATGATTGAAAGAAAATAAATTTTTTGGAAAGAGAGAGAGAGTTATATTTTTTGCTCTATTACTTTGTTAGTGTTGTGTCAAGGTACAGGTAGATCCTGGTTAACACAAAAGATATGTTCCTAAAACATATTGTGCTGTGCAAATTTTTGCTAAACAAATTAAAAAAAAATGAAAACCATGTAAAAGGTAAGAGATTCATTTTAGAGAGAGAGAGAGAGTGTGTGTGTGTGGGGGAGAAGGGTGATGATGATTAACAACTGTAGTAAGTATTAATGTGCTGCAGAGATAAAATGATTAACAAGTAATTATTAATGCACTGTACTGCAGTTGTTCAGACTCAAGGTGATTGATGGATGAGCAAGACAACTGGGGGTGTGAATCGTACGTGTTCTGTGGACTGTAGATGCTGCTGGCCAGTAGTTTTTTATTAGCTGATCAATTGTCTTTATTTGATATTAAATCTTTAAAAAAATATATATTTAATGTACAGGATATAAGTGACTCATATTTAACCCTCTGAGTGCTATGAACGACTCAGGATTTTATTCTGGCTAATGCCCGACAATTTTATTACCTTATGCTGAAGGGAACCCATAACAATGAGGGTTAAATGAGAAAAGTCATATCTTATTTTATAATTCTTTTTTATTAATTTTCAGATGAATTCATCATTGGCAGAGTTATAAAGGCCATGAATTCTAACTGGCATCCAAGATGCTTCACATGTGAACTCTGTAGCAAGGAACTAGCAGACTTGGGATTCATCCGTAATGCTGGACGGGCACTTTGCCATGAGTGCAATGCTCGAGTGAAAGCAGAATCACTTGGGAAGTACATGTGTCATAAGTGCCAGTATGTATTATATCCTTGCTTGTGGTTTAATCATATTTGAGGTAGTTTTATGAAGAAAGGGTAATTACTTTTCGTGAATAAAACAACAGAGAGAATCCTTAATTTCATGGCTTCTTGTTAAAGTAAAAAACAAAACAAAAAAGACCGCAATGCAAAAAAGAAATTATGTATAGATGCAAATTTAAGTTGATTATAATTATGACTTCAGGGATAGTCATATGTACATTTGTATGGAGTACTGTACATTATTTATAGTACAGTATACAGGGTACTGGTAATATATTTTCTAATATATTATTGGATGGTCATTACTGATCCTCTTAACTCTGTGGTTATTCTACATCTCAAATCCACCCTCGCTCTCCATGTCCTACCTGTGTGTGTGTTATCCCCATATGTCATACAGTATTTTATATATTTCCTGTCACATCCACAATCTTCCTCTTTCCTAATTGCACATGCACCTCACAAAAAATCTACTTTTCATACAGAATTAATTTACTGTGGAAGCTGCCTGCAACGCAAGCTTGTTAATCACCACTCTCATTTATTAATATTGCTGTTATACTAGCCAGCAATGTCAATATCCATGAACTAATTTGAAATAGTAGCTAAAAATATACACTTCCTCTTTTGGGGGTTTTCACACTATATCTGTGCCGATTTCTTACCCTTTAGAGCAGCCATGTAAGTACAGGTAGATAGTTTTAATTGTCCTTTTGTGTGCTACTTTCACTGAGGTTATAAAGAAAATAATAAATTAGTACTTAATTAAAATTATGTATTCAGTCATGCAAGTGATTTTTTCTCTATAAACAGTTCAACAATTGATGGCCAACCACTGCGATGGCGTGGGGACACCTTCCATCCATACCATTATAATTGTGCTTCATGTGGCAATGAATTAACAGCTGATGCTAGAGAGGTCAAGAGTCGACCAGGATACACAGCCAATGAGATGGTAAGGGTATTAGTTGAAAGTGGTAACCAAAGCAATATTTCATATGATCTTATATAGTACAGGTTGTACCTCTCTAGTCCGGCATTCTGTGGTCCGGAAACTCCCGTGGTCCGGAACGATTTTAGTTTGTCCAATAGGTAGATAGGCAGCTTTTTTTTTTTTTATCTGAATTATTATTATTATTACAGGAGTATTAAATTTTTGCCCCTCAGGCCCCAATGTGGGTCAGTGACCTATGCCCGGGTGGGCTAATCCCCTTAAAAAAAAAAAAAAAGCCGCGGGAAATTAAGGTTTGTTTACATCCGGCAGTTCGGCTGCTCTCTCTCTCTCTCTGCTTGTCTATACAGAGTACAACATTTAACCCTTCAATATATATGAGCAGTAAATAAGTGTTGCTTTCATATTCTTATGTAGAGTAATGACGATATGTTTTCACATGTGCGCACTTACATACGCGCAGTCTCACTTTTTTTTTTACCATTAATGGTTAGCTACTTATATTGTTCCATTTATTAACATTAAATAACATTACAGGTACTTCAAACAACCATATTAATTTTTTTACATTAATTTTACTACAGCTAAAATCAGGGTCTTATTTTCTTCAGTTTTATATGTAGAACCAATCAGTCACTGGTTTTGTAAGCTTTAACATAAACAATGCCGGCAGCCGTCTCGTCTCCTCTAATATTCCACGTATTATTAATAAATTGTATTGTTAATTTTGCACACACACACACATTAATTCAATAAAAACAAATTCAGAAACATTAATTAAAATATATATGAACAGTAAATAAGTGTTGCTTTCATATTCTTATGTAAAGTAATGACGATATGTTTTCACATGTGCGCATGCGCACTTACATACGCGATCTCTCTTTTTTCTTTACCATTATCGTTAGCTACTTCTATTGTTCCATTTATTAACATTAAATAACATTACTTAAAACAACCATATTAATTTTACTACAGCTACAACTAAGGTCTTATTTTCTTCAGTTTTATAAGTAGAACCAGTCAGTCACTGGTTTTGTAATCAACGAAAACAATGCTGTGTCATTTCCTCGTATGTTTTAATATTCAACGTATTATTAATGAATTGTATTGCTCATTTTGCACACATAAACATTAATTCAATAAAAAAGACATTCAGTAATAAACAATAATGAATCTTTTGTACATAAGAGAAATGACGCTGTTTACACGATTATGCACGTCGTCTGCACATTGGCGGGCCGTTCAAACCCGTCGAAATTCAAGTTTCCGCCGTCAAAATTTTTATTTATTTATTTTTTTGTGTGTTCCAATAAAATAAATTAAGAATTAAAAACTCGCGAAATTTGAGAAGCTACTATACGACATTTAACCCTTCAAAGAGACCATGATGCAGAGAAAGTGTTGCTAGTGCTTCCAAGCATAAGCACAAGTCACTATCTATCCAGGAAAAGGATGAATTTCCATGGTCCGGCACTGGTCAGGTCCCGAGGTTGCCGGACTAGAGAGGTACAACCTGTATTGACATCGTGGTGTAATAAGGGTAAAAATTTTGAAATACAGTACTGTTGCTTTAAAACATACATGCATACATGTATCATATATCTCATGGGTGATTGCAAAATAGGAAGACTGTCCAAGTAATATCTATATGGTTCCTTTTTATTTTGGAATTCATACTGGAATAAATGAGTAATATTTTTGTAAGAGATTTTGAATGATGATCAGTGCATAGATAATGCTGCTAAGTACAGTATATCATAACTGAATGTTTTACCCAACGTCAATAAGATCCCACATTGTGCAAACAGGTTAATTGCAGGGTGATGATCCAATAAATCACTAGTCTTTTTACTACTGTTACTGAACAGTTTGTCACTGGTTCAGTAAAAACCTAAACTAACTTAATCTAACCTAACTAAGGCTTCATTACCTCCAAAATAGACACAATTTTCTAAATATAACATGGTATTCAATACTCTGGTGATGAAGTGTCTGCCCACCTACTGCATATACAGGGAGGGTGTAGTGAAGAAATTCATTATTATAATAGCTGTACATCTTTCTTTGGAAATGCTGGATTTAGAAGTGTTAAGATTGTGCAGTCAAACAGGGCCTCTACATTTTTCTAGGCACCCATCTTTAAATATAGAAAGTAAAATATAAAAGACTAGCTTCTTTAGATTTTTATTTGTTATGTCACTGGCTAGTTACCTTTTCCATTGTTGTGTGTAGTTGACAACCTTGGGGGTGGGGTGTATATAAGCTATGATAGACCGTTGCTTATTCAGAGGTTTAGGGTAAAGATAAATTTCTCATATTCATGGTCTAGGGTATTCATTGTTTTTTAGGACATTTTACTTTTATAACACAATGGCTTGTGGGTGTGTTGCTAAAATTAAGTACAGTATGCAGTAGTGTGGACCTCAGGCCCCCATCTACATGTCTGCTCTACACTGGCCCCCATATTGTAGGTACAGTAACATTTATTTAAAAATTATGAAATAATTTTTTAATTTATTGAGCTAGTATTGTTAAAAATACAAGGAATATTCAATACTGATAAGTTAATTGATCCATATTTTTTCCAGAATGAGCTGTATTGCCTCCGTTGCCATGACAAAATGGGCATTCCAATTTGTGGCGCATGTCGTCGTCCTATTGAAGAGCGTGTGGTAACAGCCCTTGGCAAACATTGGCATGTAGAACACTTTGTTTGTGCCAAGTGTGAGAAACCATTTATGGGGAATCGCCACTATGAACGGAAAGGCATGGCATACTGTGAAACTCATTATCATGAGTTGTTTGGAAGCTTATGCTTTATATGTAATGCAGTCATTTATGGTGATGGTAAGTTAATTTCTTATATCAGCATAATTTCATGTGTATTATCTTGTCCACTTTTCTAGTTAGAGTAAAACAATATCTACTTCCAGTGAGAACCCGTTTATTTTCACTATTTTTTTTTTTTAAATAACCATAACGTATCTCTCCCGCTCTGCCTGATAACTCTCACATGCAAAAATTTTTTATTCTCTTTATGTTTTTGACCTTATAATAGTTAATTTATATACAGTGACCCCTCCGTTAACGAACTTAATCCGTTCCAGAAGGTCATTCGTTAACCGAAAAGTTCGTTAACCGAAACCATTGTTTCAATGGGTTGTTGGGTAATTGGTTCCAGCTCACCGAAAATTTCCTAAATTCAACAAAAATGGTAGAAAAGTTCACTTACTTTGAGGTGTGTATGTAGAAGGCTCCTGGATGATGATGATGGGATTTAGAATGGGGGTGGAGGAGAAGGAAAAAGAGAAGGCATTGGGGTGGAAGAGAAGTCACCCCATGGCGCCATTTCACCCATAAAATTTTAGCTCTCTTGGTGTAATTCAAGATTATTTTCTTTAAATCAACACTGCACTGCATTATATATTGTCAATATGGAAAATATATTTCAAAATGACCAATAATTTGCTTGGAAACACAGAAAAAAAGCGTTTAGTTGAAGAGAGTCTCAAGCAAGATGTTACCTCCAGTGAAAACAGAGAGAGACTAACGCCTGTTTGCTGTGTGAAGAGGCTGGATGCCGCGCATTAAACTAGTCACTTTACCTTCAGTTATGTTCAATAATTGTTAAAATGACTAAAAAATTGAATATTAAACTTTTAAAATTATTGAATAGTATAAACTTCTTGATATTTACTAAAATAGTAAGGAATTTAAACCCTAGAACCGATTAATGTATTGGCAGACTGATACTAAAGCTGGTTGCCCGGTCAGTGCAAGCGAAAACATGTTGAGGTCGGTTCGTAAGGACTTCGTTAACCAAATTTTTTTTCGTTAACCGAATTGAAGATCCTTATGGAAGGCAGTTCGTTAATCGAAATTACGTTAACCGAGGTGTTCGTTAAACGAGGGGTCACTGTACTTTTGTTTTTTGTACATTATGTATATAGGATTGTGTGGTCATGTAACTGAGTAAAAATAATATGAAGAAAGTTACATATATCTACCTGAAATTACAAGTTGAAAAATATTCAAAACTTAACTCACACACTAAGCCTGCTAGGGAGAGGGCTCGGGATGAGTTGAACGTGGCAATAATGCCACCAGCTAGGTCAAGTGTAATTCTTAAATAAGCACACCACCACCCTCAGTGGTGAATTAAAATGAACAAACTGAGTGGTGGGAGTGATTACTTTAAGGAAAGGCAGTCAGGGCTCACCGCAAGTGGTAGGGAATGACAGCAAAAGACGTGGGCTGAGGATTGATACAGGAGGGAGGGAGGGTTTGTTATGATCAGTGAGTGAAAGTACGTCTCTGCGCATCTCTCCAAGATGGCCACCCTAGCGATGGTAGCTCTTGTTAAATAAGAAAGAAGTGTTAAATTAGGAAATTCGTATTAACGAATTTTCATATCTCAAACGTTTGTTAAGTGAGGAATATCGGTAAAAAAAAAGGGTACAGTAATTACAATATGTTGATTAATTTGCTTTTGTCTACAGTTGTGATGGCTCTCAACAAAGCCTGGTGCAGTCATCACTTTGCCTGTGCTGTCTGTGACATTAAAATGACACAGAAAACTAAGTTCTTTGAGTTTGATCAAAAACCTGTAAGTACTATGTTGTTTTTTAATATTGTATGTTTTAGATAAATAATCAGTAACCATTTCAGGCCTATAAATTAAGGTGATTACCAGTACATATATACGTACTATACTTTTATTTACCTTTTTCTATTATAACTACTGTTTGTGATGTAGACTGGTGCAGCTTCACTTGCCAGTTAATAAGAGTATATTTTTTTCATTATTTCCTTATATTATTAATCCTGATATTTTGAAGTGATATTTTATATTACAGTTGTAGTCCTGGCTCATATGGCATGTGTATCATCATCAAGTACTGTGTTGAAAACACAGGTTCCCAGGACCTAGCCATGTTACTGGAGCTAATCAGGATATAGGCAATCACTTTACTATTATATCCGGATTTCTAAAAATTACTTATGGGTAGGGCAGTCACCACTGAACACTTAAATCATTGAACCTTGCCATTGCACCAGTGCACTACTAAATCATGATTGCTTAGCTAAAAAGTATGATATTACAATCAATCCCTTCAGACTGTGTTTTGTCATGCACACAGCTAAATGCTTCTAAATGGAGTCCTAAATGTTATTACATTATACTGTAGTAATATCACCATCACTGTTTTGTGGTCATTTTCTATGTTTGTGTGGTTTATGTTTTTATCATGTTATCGGAGTGTTTATAATTACCAAACAACCTAGTGTGAGGTTGGTTTGCATTTTGGGGGAGGGGGTTGATACCTCCCAGTGCCATTCCATTCCTCCATGGTGCAGTAGCTCAACTGTCTTCCGGAATTGATCATGAAATGAATGACACATTGTAGCTGAGCAGTGATAATCATGAAACATAATGGAAAGAAAATTTCACTTTTAATTGTTACCTCTATGTAATGTTAGCAAGTCTCCACCTACCCCTACACCACCTTCTTTCCCTGCCAAATTCATTTTGTCCACAACTGTACAATGATTAATTTGTCTTTAACTCTGGATGTGCATAAGTGGGTGGAATAGGGAGTCTTTAGCTCAGGGATGGCCCGAAGTGGTTGTGCTTGGGGGAGGTTATTTTATTTTTTATTATTATTATTATTGGTCTTGAGTTGGTCACAATGATCTCCAAAATTCAAGGAGATGGTCAAGAAAGGACACACACACACACACACACACACACGCTGGTAGCAAGAGGTAACACAGTGGATCGGTGTTTTGAATGGTTATGATGATGCCAGACGTAAGATAAAGAAAGAAATAAAGAAATGTGAACGTGAATACAGTAAGTGAACAATGAAATGCTGTTTCAGAAAGTAAAATTGACACACATACCATGGCTAGTTGGGCCATCCCTGCTTTAGCTGCTGGTTAAGGATGAAAATTCATATCTATACTGGAATGTTCTGCTTAATGAGCTATATGCATTCCTGAAAAGTTCTCATTACATGAATTCTTGTTCACTGTGGATCCCATGCTGAAGGCTAAGATGTACATCAGCACAAAGAATTTTGGCATTGTTTACAATATTAGCTCCAGGGCTCTGCAGATATAATGCACATTTTCACTATTGTCAAGTTGTATGCACCTTATATAAATTACTGTAAAGTAATTTTTACCATACAAAGAACAGAGTAATTTTTTACATAAATTTTCATTCTTCCCCATAGATATGTAAGAAGTGCTATGAAAAGTTCCCGCAGGAGTTGAAGAAACGTCTCAAAAAGCAGCATGATACCCAGGCCCGTGGGGGCAAGCCAATTCCATAGATACCAGCAATCTGAAAATTATGGGTGATACAAAGTTTTAAGTTCTTTAAAGAAAAATTCAGTAGTGCTGATAAGAATTTTATATCACCTGATCATAATATGATTTACTAACTGAATACTATATTATGAGTGCTTAAAAAGGTTTTGAATCAAATCAAATGTTTATTTGATACATTTGTTTATAAATTATATTTATACTTAAATTTTTTTAGTATGTACAGTATGTACAATATTTCATTTAGGTTGAAAAAATTCTCATTTTATCCTTTACTTTATCTTTCTATTTTTTTTTTTTTTTTTTGCTCCTTTTTATATTTTCTATGGAGTGAAATGTTATGTGGAGATGTAGGTGTTCAGTGATGAAAAAGGAATCTCTGATAAAGATGTTGGGAGCTTGAATATCAAAACCAGTAAGTATTTACTTACCAGTATCAATATTGTCTGTACATTCTTCCAATGTGAAGCTGAGGGGATCTTGCAGTCACCACACCTATTGCTCTCTGCTGCACGTTTCATATTTATGACTGAACACTCCCCATGAAGGGTATCATGTATTACCCACTGAGTCTCTGGTTGAAAATGTAGTGACTAGTACAGGTACCAAAAATTGTTTTTAACCCAATATTGTACTGACAAAGCCCATATTGTGGCTGTGTTGGAGGAGAAAGCAAGAAATATGGAGGTACTGTAAGTCCACTCTTACTGAATACAATACAGTAATGTCTCTCTTAGGTGCAACAGTTAGTGTACATGGTATTGCAGCGATGAGACTTTTCAGATGGGCTTATTTTTGTCCCAAATACATGATTAATACTTTTAAAAAGTCATACGTATTACTGTAAATTATTGCAACGATGATTTGGACTCATATTGACTTATAAACATGGATTTCAAATATAGCTTTATTCTTCTTAGTACTTATGTACATAAGACATAATAAAAAATTTAAAAACATTGTACTGTACTCATCAGATGTGGGGCTGTATAGAGTTGTAAGTGGATAAAGTAGTCAGTGTAGCAGGCAATACCTTTAGTAAGATGACAAATGAACTACTTTTCCTGTGATGTACTAAGGAAAGGGAGGTTATTAAGAATCTTCATCGGGTGTTGGCCTTAATGATTGGAAAATTCTAAGTATGTTTTGGCATGGTGAATATGCATACACATAACTATAGTACAATTACAGTAATACAGTACAGTATTGCCACAACATCCACAGTTCAGTTATCACAGCATGTAATCACAGCACATTTACTATGTCGTCCCTCATAGTGTAGTTAACTTTAATGATATGTTTAGTTACAATATGCCACTAATGTAATATCGTCCATATGTGCCTAATACTGCAATAACATTAATGTTTTTGTTTTCATTGCAAGTACCAAGAGCATCAGCTGCTCCACTGTTGGCTGCAAGGTTCTAAATGTTATGAGAGATGTACCTAGGCGGAAGGGTTATTGGTACGGAGCAACAATCAAACCTTTAAACCTCATATAGCCACATTATCAGTTTCATCCCTTAGCTGCAATCCTTTAAAATTTTTGCACCTGAGAGAGGTTTTACTGTAGACACAGACCCAATGCTTAAGGACAGCTTGGGCTGACCTCTTTCTTTCTTTCGTTCTCCTCCAGGTCCAAGTTACACTAACATACAGTTGTGTGAATTTTCACATTCTCAAACAAAGTGCTGTGTCTGATGGTTCACTTAAAAGTCCTATCCTTTTTATTACCCTCTTTAATCCTACAATTTTCCTGCTTCATTCACTTAGATGGTTGAGCTTCCATGTCATCATCATACAGTCCAGATATTTAAATTGTCATAACTATTTCAGCCAGTCATCATATTTGGTTCCCTTTTCTTGAAACATATCTACTGTACCTTCTCTTACAATAAGAATATATAAGCTTTTAAAAGTTGTTAAATGACTCATATTTTTTACATCATAATTTTGTTTTAAGTACAGTAATTAAAAACTAATTATTATGCCTGTACAGAGTATTGGTATTACCCAACATGTTGCATGTACTGTACAGTATAACAGGGAACTCATGAATCAAGATTCAGCACAAAAAAAGTTAAAATTAATAAATAAAAATTAAGGATAAGGCTTTTGTACATTCTAATTTTGATGTAAGTTTAATATCATTGATGATTTGTTGCGAGGTAATAATTAAATGTAAGTAATAGTTGCCTGACAGGATCTTGTACTGTATACCTATTCCATAGCATTTTGTGTAAGAGTTGATTGAAGAACTGTATACACTATCAAGATATATTTTGTATCTTAGCAAACTAGTTAGTGATTGATGTTGAAAGTTTTAACAATTATGCACTCTCCTTACACATTTAATTTAATATTTTTATGATTCCCTCACAAGAGTCCAATTATCTAAAACAAAGTGGCACAGGATTCAGTATGAAGTATTATCTTATAGCTATTATCATGATTGATCTTATGACTTAGATATCAACAAATTATATTAGAAATTATATATTCATACTTTTTGTCTTTTCCATTGTTAACTTAATGGAACACAAAATACTAACATTATGATTAAAAAATTTTCTCCTTATGTTATTCACCATTTATCTTTTCTTTCTTTCTTTCATATGGTGAATATGCCTGGAAAAGTTTATTGTAATGTGGTAATAGAGAAAATGGATAAAAGAAGTTGCAAGGTAGATGAGGAAAGAGATAACAATAAAACTGTTGACAGAAAAGTGCCTGGCAGAAAGTAAGAAACTGTTCTCAAGATTTTGTAAACATGTAGAAGGCAAATGAGAGAGTAACTAGGAGGCATTGAGTGAGGCAAGGAAGATGTATAGTGTGAGTTACTCTAATTGATACAGTACAAGCATTCTATAAAATTAGAATGGCAAATGTGAGGAATGTGTACAGGAATCCTCCATTTTGTGTGTTTTATTTTAGTGCATTTTATTTTTATGTGGGTCTTATATTATGGAATACTTTTTATTAGAACACCCAGTTACCATTGCAGTTTTTTTATTTTGTGTGTTTTTAACAATGGTACAGGTTACCCTCAACACAGTTACACATGTGTCTTATGTATCATGTGCTCAGTTTATCTCATGATTACTTCATTGTAGTATCATTCTGTTCAAACACCAGTATTAATTGCATTAATTGTACATTTGCTTTGCTAATTTCAATGTAAATTACTTTACCTGGCATATGATAAACTTTATTGTGTGCTGGGTATCCTATATATCATCTGCTTAAAGCATTATTCAGTGTACTGTACTGTAAATAATAGCTGGTGTGAAGTAATTGTGCTCAAAATAAATTCATTATCATTAAAACATTTGTCCTTTTTAATCGTACAGTATTTCTAGTGTATTTTTGTTTTGTTCATTTTAATTTAGCACTTAATTTTTCAGGAATGCAACCACACAAAATTATGGATATCTGTATGTATGTATGTATGTTTGTGTGTGTATAGATGTAGCAGAAGCAAAGCTGTAACTGGGTACAGTAATGGGATCTGGCTCTTAGTACCATGTTTGCCTTGAAAACGATGATGGATGAGAATGACATGGTGTATAACAGTAGAGAGATATATACTCAGTAGGAGAATGCTTGGAAGAGGCTAGGGAATACAAACACTTGGGAAAGATGTTGCATAAAAGTGGTATGATGAGTGAAATCCTGGATAGAACAATACAGGGGAGGTAGAGGAGGATTAAAATGTTTGGAGATGAAAAGTGACTGAGAATTAGTTGAGTTAATATAAAGAGAAGAGCACTAATGAAGAAATTGGTATATGCATATAAATTCTGCCATTTACAGTACAGTATTTAGAGATAACGGTTGTAATTTTTTCCTCTGAAACGGGTTGTTTTTCCTTACGAAAATTCATGTGGGATTTGTACAATGTTACATAAAAAGTGAATAAGAATATCCAAGTTAAAATTTACATCAACCAAAGTACATATAAAAGAAAATTCGAAACATCACCATCTCTTCCCTTTTTATGGCTAATTATTATACATATCCATATCAATTGTCCTCGTATGGTGATAAGTAATTAGGATCCTTAGGTTCTAAATCCCAAGTCTTTCTATATTTAAATCATCTGGGATGTTGTTGACCTTAAGTTTTATTGGTAAATAATTCTTCTTAAGCTCCCTATTGTTGTCAATTTAACAAAATCCTTGATTTTACCACTGCTTATCATCTAGTTTTTATATGTATAGATATCTGTAACAATACCATTGACTAATGAATCTATATAATATATCCTCTCAAAATGCCAGTGAAAATTTCTTGCTGATGGTTGTAGTAGTCACTAAGATATGATTTGACTATGATGTATGTATCTCCCAGTGGTTCATATCACTCCAGCTGCTTCTTTGTCACATAGCTTACTATTACTAGAGTAAATAATTTTGGATCATAAAAATTTGCACAATTTCTTATTATTAGTGTACTGTAGAGAATATTTTTAAGCATGACAGTAGGGAGAATATCAGATATGCATGGTATAGGTGTGGAAAGCTAAGACTATGCAAATTGATTGTGAAAAAATTAGATTTTAGGATAATCCTTATTTTCATTATGGTCCATAGTGCTGCCTGAGGAAACCAAATTTTTTTTTATTGCATTATGGAGCTTTGAATACAGTATTTGTTTCTCGCTCTATTTTCTTGCATATTGTATTGGAATGTAATATGGTAATGGCTATTCATCATAAAGTGAGCCATATATTAATTTGTACCATGTTTCACAAATGAAATTCCTTACATTTCAGTCTTTGGTTTACTCATGATATTCTCTTTTGAGCTCCCATTAATCAAAGGTTCCTACAATCATAGCAATCTCTCATGTATATTTCTATAAGCCCTACATTATTTTACAATATTAAAAGGGGCTGTACAGTATCTAGACTTAGAAGTGATTTTTTATTTATTTTTTACCAAAAGTAATCCATGATTTGTGGGTGTGTACAATACCAGTATGTACTTGATTTTACCTGAAAAAATTGTCAGTTGTCTTCAATGGCTATAGGTGGGTTACCAGTTATGATACATTTATATCACACTACCCTTGTGTTAACAAATTTCACTGCTGAGTATGAAAGATTAATATTGTATGAAAGAAAGTTGATCCATGTGCAACAATATACATGGAGGTGCCAAAAGTTGTGTACTGTAATTATAAAAATATTAACTGTTTGTGTCATAATGTTTGAATCGATATTTTCTTAACATTTGTATAATTTTCTTTTAATTAGATACCAAATGAATTCTTGCCACAGTTAGTTATTTAATTCATAGACTTTTAACTTTTTCAGATTTTAAGTAGTTTATGTGTAAATGAAACGGTTTCTCTCTCATATACTGTACTTGTTACTATTAATACATGTTGTAGCTTCATAATTACAAATGTGTGTTGTTTGCTGGGATGATCAATTGCTTCTCGTTGATGAGCTTTGCTCTCCCATTTTATTGTATATTGTTAAGTGTTTTGTGAATAAATTTTGTAGATTATTAGCTGTCTTCCCTGGAGACAGATGTCAAATGTATAACATTAATTTTGCTACTATAGCACAATAGGAATTGCATTTACATGTGGATGACTGGAATTCAAAATTTTCATAAATACCCGGATGAAATGCTGCATATTATCAATGTTTCAAAATTTGGGCCATTAGAATTTAAAATCATTGTGAGATGTGATCATTTGCAGCTTGGTTGTTGGCTGCGCATGGCAACAGTCCACCACTTGACCTTTGTAGGACTTGCACTACTACTGTGCCAAGTCAGTAAAATGTTGCTGCTGAATACTTGGGTGCTAATCCTGTGCTAAATACTGTAGTCTAATAATACAGTAAGACTTCATTGGTATGTAAGATAATTTACAGTTAAAATGTGGCAATGTATAATACATTTCTTAGTACAGTATGTCTGATTTTGCTGGTATTAAATTTTAGGAGGTTTTGTGTGATTGTTATGTATGATTTACAAAGATAATTCGAGTGGTAGATAATGCAAGGTAAAAGCCATAAATGATGGCCTTTCACAAAACCAGGTAGCAGTATCTTAACTAACACTGCAAATGTATGAACACAACCTAGTGATACTGTATTTGTAATTTTGTGAAATTATGCTACTAATTTTAAACTTAACTGAAATAGCTGGAGCAAAATATTGGTTTTAGTGTAGGAGGATTTAATGTTAAATTTAGAAACCGCACAACACTCCAAAATAAGTATAAAATTATATTTCTTAAGAGTGATTGACATTTTTATGACATTGCACCTTATTTCCTCCTTCAGTACAGTATTTATATTATTTTTCAAGAAATAAATTCAATTTTACTTAACTTTTTTATGCTTAATTAGTGCCTTTCTGATGCCTTAGATATTTAAATATAAATATTATAACCTTAAAATGTTAATATACAAGTGCTGCGAGAGTTGCTTGAAACTGTACTAGTTCTTCCACTAAAGTAACAAAGATATGTAAGCTTAATGCACAAGTCCTGTAGTAGTTGTCCATTTTTGTTACATCGAATATCAGCGAAGTTGTTACAGTATTTAATTTCTGTGAGAATATTTTGATCATACTACAGTACTTTGAATAATACAATCACCTATTTAGATATCAATAGAAATATATTTTAACTGAAATTCTGTCAATATTTAACTACAGTATTTGTATAAACATAGAGATACTTTTTATGGCTAGTCTGATAGAATCATGAGAAGTGTTGCAGACATTACTGAGGCAAGGTGGATGTGGGTTTTGTAGATTTTGTATTATAGTTATGATAATACTTGAAGACTTTGGAATAAATTTGTTAACACTAAATTTTACAGTGCACTTTATAATGAATACTTTATATCAATATTATTATTCCACAGCATTTGTATACTGTATTTTATGACAACTGATTTTACCCATGGCTAATTATCCTTATACAGTACTATATTTTTAAATATGACTAAAAAATTAAATAAGTCTTGATAATATTTAATTATCTATCCTATGTATAACCTTTACCACTTTTTTGCAGGATACCAGTATTAATTTTCACCACATTGGGCTGCATATTCCCCCAGTGAGTTAAGAAAGTCTAGGAAAGTGGGTCAGGCAGGACACCACCAAACTCCATGGTCACTACACATCTTAGCACATTCCTCTTTGTTGATTCAAACTCAGTATTATGGTATCAGCACAACAGATAACTGTTTAAGCATTTTTTTTCTTAAGATAACTGGAGGATATAAATTTTTAAATATAAAGCAAGGTGTGATGATTATAGACATGCTGGAGCTGTGCTGTTTGAATATCTTTTTACTACTGTGGTTATAATTGCTTGCTAATTGGCTATGTAAGCTTTTGCACTAAAACAAGTGTAATAAACTATAAAACTACTGATGTTTGTTTGTTCCTTATTTAACCTATGTTCCTCCCAGCATTCTGGGAAAATCAATACAAAACAATTAAATTTTGAGTGCTGTATGGATACATACGGTTGAAAATGAAAAGGGAAGTCAGAGTTTTTAAACATGTAACCTGATTGATGTGATTGTAATATATGAGAAGCAACATAGAGTCTAACTATTATTTGGTAGAGGCAAGATTAATGGTGAATAGAAGGTTTCGGGTAAAAGAGACTCCCAAGAAATGAGGTTAAAAAGCTGACAAATTGAGGAAAGGGAATGTAGCTGTAAGATTTAAAGAGATGAAAGACAGTGGATACATTTATGAGTAAGTGTGACTGAAGAATGAGAGCAGCAATAGTGCAGGCTTAGAAAGAGCAGCTAAGAAGTATAGGTAATAAAAGGGAACAGTGGGCTGAAATGTTGGCCATGTTCCATAAGGAGAGAAAGGTTTAAAAGTGCCAGTTACAAAGAATAATGTGATGAGGGAGGAGAGTACATAGACTAAAAAGAAAGAAAGAATTAATAAAGAGCAGTTTATATATATATATATATATATATATATATATATATATATATATATATATATATATATATATATATATATATATATATATATATATATATGGGGAAACAACATGATTTTATCAAGATTTATCTTATCCACGTTTTCATTGTGGATCTACATGAAATATATATACTGTATACAGTGTATATATATATATATATATATATATATATATATATATATATATATATATATATATATATATATATATATATATATATATATATATATATATATATATATATGCAAGTAAATCACTGATAACCACAAGGAAAAAGAAAACACGAAGTTCCCAAGCGCTTTCGTGTAATTCACATCTTCAGGGGTGAGTACAGACTAAGGAGAAGTACACAACAAGGTGTATATATACAGAGGAGGGTGAGATCAGGTCCACAATGGTCAGGTAATGACCCTACTAATCTTTAAAAAGCACCGCAACGGTCGATAGTCAGGTCAGAGGGTAAGGTGACCCAACCTTCTCACCTGGCTACAAATCTCCTTAATTACAAAATTGTCCAGTTTGTACATGTCATTACTCAAATTCATGTTGACTGCTTCGGTATGTTTAATGAGACTAGATTCTATGATGTTCCTACCGTCAATTGAATTACAAGGTAATATTGAGGAGGCATTATCCCAGTCAATGCAATGCTTGTTATCCCTCAAATGAACAAACAGAGCATTGGATTCCTGGCCTGTCCTAACACTATATTTACTTGCTGTAAATGAACTTTCAGAATAGAATTATGCTCTTTTTTTCTACTCCAGTTACGCCTCAGCAGCAATAAAGACTGACGCAAGTAATTACCCCCAGCCACGTTCTCTTTGTTTATTTACGTGAGGCTGAGTGTATTTACTGTTAGATGGCGTTGTTTGTGCTGTGGACAGGTATGTGATTTATAGCCAGGCACGATATTGGTTTGCAACAAGTTTGGAGTCACTCTCGAGCAATTATCATGGTTTCGTCACGAATGTTGTCTTGTTACGTAACTTATAAATCTGATAGGATGACGGCTCGTGCCTTATTGGTGAAGGTTTATATATACAGTACTGTATATATATATATATATATATATATATATATATATATATATATATATATATATATATATATATATATATATATATATATATATATATATATATATATATATTTCATGTAGGTCCACAATGGAAACGTAGATAAGATAAATCTTGATAAAATCACACAGGGAAAAGGGAAACAATGGAGAACCTTAGCTTTCGTCTTTATTCAAGACATCTTCAGGGGCAACTAAGTTACAAAGACTGAGAGAGAGCTTATGTACACAGGGTCACCTTACAAAACATGAGGTCAGGCCAAAAAACATGACATCCACTAATCCACACACCAACCACACAACAAACATAAGAAGAGATTATAAGAACGGACGACATAACTAGTCATGTCACGTCAGGTAAAAAATATGAGACCCACTAATCATCTATCATACATCTACCTTACATGCTTTCAAAGCATTTTTAACCTTGGGCCACTGACAAATAAATTTGTGTAACATATTATCAGTTTTGTACTGATCATCACTAAGGTTTAAGGAATACATTTCTCTAATCAAACTTGCTTCAACTGGAAGTCTTTCTGTGACACATGATTTATACACTTCTAAACTGTTTTCCCAATCTATGGGATGATTAGTGTTCCTTATATAAACGAAAAGTGCACTGCTTTTAGATGCCGTTCTAATATTGTACTTGTGTTGTTTAATTCTGAGTTGCAATGCTTTCCCAGTCTGACCTACATAATTTCCATTTCAATTGTAACATGGAATACAGTAAACACTTCCATTTACATTCAAGGTTGGGCTATTCTTAATTAAAATATTAGTATTAGTTGAGTCATACTTAAAAACAACATTAATGTTTAATAGTTTAAGGGACTGAACTGACGGGACCAATTCATTGCGATAAGGTAGTCAATATATATATATATATATATATATATATATATATATATATATATATATATATATATATATATATATATATATATATATATATATATAATACAGATGGAAGTATAACTAACTTGCATCGGTAAGCATAATCATACAGACAAATATACAAACTTATTAAGCTTGTGACTGTACAATAAACTTTGTCAATCAAAAAACTTCCATGACAAAATAATTTTCCGCAACACACTTTTTTATTTGTACTGTGTTCATTTACATTCGCTCATTTGAGGAAGATTAATTACTTGGCGTATCAAGGTAATTCGTATAATTTTTAGATCTTACGCATTAGGATCTTTAAACCCTATAATTGGCAATGAAAACCCTAATGAACAAATTGTAAAACAATATAAAAACTTTAAGGAGACAGATCAATGTGTTTCCTCGCGGAGTGTAGCGAAACTGATCCACACTGGCCGCTGTCGAGAGACGGTAGGGGCTAAAGAAAAGGGTGATCACTGGATTTCATAGTGCAAAGGTCCCACTTTGCATAAATATTCCTTGGAGCAACATGAAAAAAATATCCAAAGAGACACTTTGTCTCTTTGCATAGAACCCACTAATTAGCATAAATTATGCTAATTAGCACCAGAAAGAAGGCAATTTCTAACATTTAAACCATTTCACCTAGAAACATGTGTGATTAGTTGAACATGGCTAATTTTAGGGTCAGGAATCCATTTGGGGAGTTATTTTGACAATTGGCGGCCATTTTGACTAAAATCTAAGAGGGCCACTGACCGCCATCTTGAATCTAATAAACGAAATCATAGTGCTCATAATAATATTGAGCACTTACAGTATATCTGATAGGCAGCTCTGAGGATGTGTTGATGTAGTGCGTCACTGCTGGGAGGCATATGATCAAAGTCCCGACCCTTGTGAAAGAAGAGATGCAAATGCGCAGTATCCACTGTTGTTATGCCCTCATCCACAACACCACAGAGCTGCATCACAAATTGATGGAGGACGGGGTGTGTCGCTCAATCATCTCCAATGTTGAGTTGGAACAGGACATCAGTGCTGTCAATTTAGCCATACTCAGAACAGTACCAGATCCACGGTGGTCCCCAATGTAATCAAGAAGCTCATTGAAAGCTTGAGCTTAAATTACTTTGGCAGCATAGCTTTCATTTGAATCACGATCAACTACATCTGCCTTTCTTTAAACTTTACTCAGGCATGCACGGTGGTACACATCATCTATCGCAATCATGTCCCCTTTTGACAGTTTGCTCTGAAGTTTCACATTACCTATTTTCTTTGGAGCATCATTGAATCTCTGGTTTATTCCAAGAGTGGAAACTTTTCTCAACTCCTTCTTGTCTTCAGACTCTTCACAAAAGAAGCATTTTGTTGCAGAATAGTCCTTGCCTTCAGTTGATGTAACATGGGACTCCTGTGTGACATAAACTCTGCCAGAGCTCATCCGCCGTGTTTTCATTGGGCTTCCTTGGTGTTTACTTCTCTCTACCTCACTCTTGGCTCGCTCCACCTTCTGTTTGTTGACGGCTCTTCTGCAATTTTTGTGGCACACTGTGCAGTTAGTTTTCATAAGTTCTACTTTTCTGCTTGCATCAATGTCATCTAGTGTTATGAAGCTGGGTAACTCACCTAACTCATAGAGCTCTGAGATATTGTCCAGAAGTTTTTGGTAACATGCTTCTAGTTTCTTGGGTTGGCCACGTAATTTTATAGATGATGCAGGATCTGCAACTGCTTCATTTGTATCTGACTGACATATAAGACATAAGGTCCAGTCAAGTGTATCCAATCTGGTCATTTTGAATCAACTATCTTTCATTGTAATCAATAATGTAACCTGAAAATACAAAAACAAAAAGTCATACATTCAAATGGTTGTCCTTAATGAATTCAAATTTTAGGATGTACTCGAAGATAAATTTGATTCATCATGCTTTTCTGATATAGCCAATAACAGCTATCTTGGAATGCACTTTTAAATATCCTTTTAAATAACCCCTATCACAAAAGTAATACCAGAAATGAGTTTATCAACACCAAATTAGTAGAAATTTATATATCACAAGTTTGTAGCTCAAACGGTTCCAAAGTTGTAAAGTATGCCCATATTGTAGGTAGTAGGTAGCTATCAAACAGGGAGGTACTACCGCCTGGGAAGATATTGGAACATTATGCTAATGGTAGACCCTGCTGCCATATGGCATCACAAAAATTGTGACCAAGTCCCACGTTGCTGATCTGACTTTCTGCCTCATTTACGCACAATTGCAGGGTCTCAATTGTTTCTCTTACTATGACAACACAACATACATACTGTGTATATCGTTTCTCACTCTTGATTGATTTTTTCGCTTTTGTATTTATTTTTGGTTATTATTATTATTTTTATTTTTTGTTATAATTTTTATCTATTTTTATTAATTATTATTATTATTATTATTATTATTAT